GCGCCGCAAATGTTTAAAATAATCTCAAATTAGAGGTGCTTTTGAGATAAGAAGTGCCACAAATTTTCGATTTAAAAAATTAAATAAAAAAGTTCGAGGTGCTTTTGAGATAAGAAGCACCACAAATTTCTGATTTAAAAAATTAAATTAAAAATATTCGAGGCACTTCTGAAATAAAAGCGCCTTCAATCAAGCATTTGCGGCGGAAAAATCAGAGGCGCTTAGAAGCGCCGCACGCCCCTGTTCAGAAGCGCCTCAAATCGCCGTTTTTTCACTAGTGAATTCTCTATCTCATATTGCGGTCTTTTGTGTGAAAATATATTTTGGACTTTTATGATCAGTAAAGATCTTGCACTGGAGTCTTGACTCCATACTAGTGGAGTCTCAAAATCTGTAACGCATGGATCACCGCTGCTAACTTCAAGTCATGTGTGGGGTAGTTCACTTCTAAGTCCTTAAGTTATCAAGAGGTATACCGTATACGTGATAACCCGTTCATTGTGCATAAGGACTGCTCTAAGCCCCACTTATTATGCATAAATGTAGATAACAAACCTCCCGCTACCTTCTGAGAGTACCAAAACCAGTGCAGACGTCAACCTAACTTCCAACTCTTGGAAACTCTTCTTGCAACGATCAATTTAATTTCTTACTCTTACAAGTCAATGTAGTCATTGAAAAAGTTATAGCAAAAAAGCTTTCCACAAACTTCATATAATACCCCGCCAAGTCTAAGAAACTTCAAACTTTTCTCGCATTCTTCGGTCTTCTCCAATTTCGGTCTTCCACTACCTTTATAGGATCCACTGAAACTCCTTGCTTTGAGACTATGTGACCAAGATGTGCTACATGGTCAAGGCATAACTCACACTTGAAAACTTGACTTATGGCTTATGTTTTCTAAGTGTCTTTAGTACTTCTCTCAAGTGGTCTTCATGCTCTTTTTTGGAGTTCGAGTAGACCAAAATATCATATATCAGATTTTTCTCTAAAACCATATATCAACGTGTTATCTATGGGATATTTGAGACATAAACTTGTTTTGAAATTATTTCTTAAATCTCCTTTGTCTAAAAATAGATATCTTTGCGTATATATTTGCAATTCAATCTTTACACACTCAGATATCTTTGAGAGATACTCTCTCGAGTGGTCTTCAAGAAACTCTTTGAACACTCTATTCATCAAATCCATGAAAGTTATTGGGTCATTAGTTAAGATGAAGGGCATGACCACAAATTCATAGTGTCATACCTAGATCTAAATGTTATATCTGGAATGTCTCCCTTATTCTTAGTTGATGATACTCTGAACGAAGATCAATCTTGTATAAAATCACAACTCCCTTTAACTAGTTAAACATATCATCAATTCAAATATGTATTCTTCATGGTCACTTTATTTTGAGCTTCATAATCAATGCACAACCTCATTGTGTCATCACTCTTCTCAAACAACTCATGTGAGTGTTTATGGAGTTATTGCAACTCTACTGGTGCATTTCGATATGGTGCTAGGAACTAGCTCGATTTAAAACTCAATCTCCATAATTGATGGTAAATCTGGAAGGTCTTCAGGGAATACATAATTGTAATCCTCCACAACTCGAATTTCAGAAAACTGAAAAAATTATACAAAAAATAGCTGAAATGATCTTCTACAGTAACTTCAGCAAATACCGTCAAAAAAGTAACTCCAACCTTACTTTTTCTTATTATTACAGAATTCAGCGCACAAAATCACAAGTTAAGTATTTGAAGAAAATTGGTTGATAAACCTAATAAGCCGAAAAAACTGGGTCACCAAAGAGGCTCTTAGGGCCTGTTTGGTAACACTGAAATTGGCTGAATCGGCTGATTCTGCTGATACTTCTGAAGTTCTGGCTGAAGTAGTTGGATTGGTTGATTCTGCTGATTTATGAAAAAATTATATTTAAAATATTTTTTATTAATAAAACAAAGAGAAAATATATGAAAAAACAGCTTAAATAATGATTATCTACAGTAACTTCAGCCAATACAGTCAGAAAAGTAATTTCAACCTTACTTTTTCTTATTATTACACAATTCAACGCTCGAAATCAAAAGTTATGTGTTTGATGAAAAAACTTACTAATAAGCCGAAAAACGGGATCATGAAACAGGCTTTTAATGTTCGAATAGACTTATAAAGTCATGTCATGTGCATTTATAATTGAGACACATATGTTTTTTATTGAACTTCTTTCCTTTCCAAATCCGATCATACACGATGAGTATAATCAGAATAGACTTGAACAATCAAATTCAAAAATTTCAGGCCAATTAAAAAATCTCAAACGATCCTAGTCGATCATTATGTTCCTAATACTCCTTGTTTTACATAAATGTGTACAAATTAAACATGCATTTGTTTTGCTATTTAATTAGTGGGCAATCGCTAATGATCTATCATGCAAATCTATTTAATTAGGTTTGCACTGCAAATAAAAATTCTCAAAGTGCACACAGTGCAGCATTCAAAGGTAACTTTTGGGGTGTGGTCATAGGCGTATAATGCATGGGCTCTGACTCGATCTTCTACTTAACTAATTACATACACATCAAATCAAATCAGAAGTTAATTGGTTACAACTTGCAACATACTGTCATACATCAAATAAGAGAGAAATCAACTAAGAGTGCAACTTCTTCATAAAGTAGAAATTGGACATCATCTAACAATCGCACAATTAAGTTAGAGGTTATCTTAATTGACTAAAGCATGGATGCTTGATTCATGTGAAACTTGACTTGAGTGGATATTCATATTCAATTCAAAATGATTAACTTTGTCATCTTATCCTTTTTACTTTTTAAAAAACTAGTCTTTTTTTACTTTACCATCTCCCATCTCTTTTATTTTACATTATTCACTATGATTAGTGAAACCATATATTGCATGTAAAGTTTAAAAAAACAATCACTTTGCATGTAAAATAAATTATATAGTTTGGCTGCATGTGTAATTTATTTTTAATTTGCACGCAAAGGTGTTGCAATGCTTTATAAAAAGCATGCAGCCATGCATAGTAGGTTAAGCCTCTTCCACGTGAAATACTTTATATGGTACTCCGTATAATACTATAATGCGAAATGTTTTTAAAAAATGTCATACAATTAACATTAGATAATCAAGCCAAAAGGTGTATGTAAACCTTTTACGTCCTCTTAATCTCTTTGAAACTTCTCAAGGTAAAACAAAAATACGGAGTATGTAAATAATAATAAAAATACTTTTGGTACACACTTTTTGGGGTAAACACTGTGTTTGTAGGTTTTTTTGTCTGTACAGACAAAATGTATTTTGAGGAAAATATGTTTTGTCTGTACAGACATAAAAAATCTACATAGACAGTGTTGTAAAAGTGTGTATCCAAAAAGCGTGTACCCCAAGTTAAACTCAAATAATAATAGACTATATGTGGAGGGGTTATCTCAACAAGTCACCTTTAAGACCGTCACTGTCTCCCCTTATTTTGAATGTCGATTGCATTTAAGAGAGAAGTTGGACAATGATTCATTCTGTTTCATACGGAGTATTACCTTTATTGTGAATTGGAGTATAGTTCAGCATTCAGCTAGCAAGGCTGCGTCATTACTATCAAATATCAATGCTTTGATTTCCTTGCATACCAATTCATGGTGATCATCATTAATAGATTACTAGAGATATAATTTAGATTTAGTCAATTTATTTATCCATGTGTCAAAAATTAAATATATAAATTTAAAGAGTGACGGATCATGTCATATAACTAATAAGTTTGCTCAGATTAAGAATATATTTTTCCACCGAAAAGTATTATATCTGATAGAAAAGCCCTCGCGAACAATGGTTGTGTAAGTGCATTTTATGTCGAAAATTCTACATTTCGAGATCCAGAAAAATATTTGATATTGTGAACATGCTTATTAGTTATTTTGTGTATGATAAGAAAAATTACGGGACTAATAATGAAAATAGACAGAAGTTACCCGACTAAATCGTCAAATCGATCTCCATGGATATGTTGAAGATGACAGTACATCTTTTGTTGGAGAGTGGGTACCACCATGGTCGGCATGAATGTGTGTAGTATTGCTTTGGTTATGTCAGCCCGGCCTCCCTTAGCTACTAAGCAACAAATCACATGCAAATCTTATCTTTTTAGTCATCAAACTCGTTTTAAAAAGCTCTAACTCACGCTTTTTGCCATGTTTACTTAGGCTTAAGGTTACAGTATTACATCATACAGAAAATACTCCGTATATTTTATTTTATGAAATGCTGAAAAATATAAATATTACAAAAATAGAATTCTGGGCAAAAAAGTATGACACTCTTAAGAAAGTGTAACCCTTCTTGAAGTGCAGTGACCATAAGAAATTTTACAAGCATTGACTGTTTTAGCAGGTACAGTGCCCGGGGGGGGGGGGGGGGCTTTGACCATAACCACTTATATCGGTCTTATTTCTATCTCTAATATTATCCAAAGACCTCTTTCTTTTCACTTGATCCAACAACAGATTGGTAATGGTTATGGGTAGGTATTTACCTGCAAGACTGCAACTAACATCTTGAGAGTTGAGAGTATCACATTATAAAAGTAATAAAGCAGATATCAGATGGGTGGGGTTAGGGGTAGTACTCTCTTTTAGCTTTTCTTTATCTTTTCTTTTCATTTTCTTGGTATATTTGGGGTTTAAGGATATTCAACTTAACAAGAAATTCAATACTGGCATGCCAGAATCTATTGTGTATATTCCAACCATATATCTGGTAGTAGGTTTACTTTTTTCTGTCCAACTTTGGGAAAGAGGTTGCATCAGAAAGTATGTATTCCACTTCATAAAGTAGTACTTTTGCATCAGCAAAAAATAAGCTCATGTTCCAGGGGTTGCTTGCACTAAAGTAAATAAAGAGTGTCTCATTACCATCACCCCCCAAAAGGAAGGGATGTTCCTCCTATAAATATTAGTCTCAGAAAATGCTTTTCATCTGATCTATCACCAACACTCCTTCAGCTTTCTCTCACCAACCGTTCGATATATCATTAGGGCCAAAGGTTTCCTTTAGGATTGCAAAATTCAAGTCCTGGAAATGATTCCACAACAGATGAGCTGCTACTCAAGAACCGGAAAGAGTCCCCTCAATGCTGGAATCCCAATCTGCTCATTTCCTCAGAAAAGGCTTCTCCATAATTCTCAAGGGCAATGCCAGGCCATGACTTTGTCCAATGAACCTTCAAAAACTAGATCATGTAAGTTCTAGTTTCATTCACTTCAACTGTTCATAATCAAGATGAAAATTAAACAGCCCATGCATTAAAACTTGGATTTCCCTGCTAAAACATGAGACCTCATAAGATGAGCAACCCAAGACCTTATTTGGCCATGGCTAAACACTATGCATGCATGTATGTGTTAAGTAATCTCAAACTGGCTGAATATAATGATTCAAATTCACATATATGGTCTTGGTCCTCTCCTCCAATGAGGTTGAGCTTTTTGGAAAATCCAAAATCATAATAGTATGAAAGTGGTTTTACATAATGATGATTTGTCTTCTTTGACCATGCAGTGACATTTGGACACAAGATTACTGAAACTGTGAAGGGAAAGTTGAGCCTCGGAGCGAAAATTCTTCAAGTAGGCGGAGTTGGAAACATCTTTAAGTTGAATTTCCAAGTCAAGGAAGGTGAAAAACTGGTAAAGACTTGTCAATGCAACTTATCAACGACAGCAGGTCCCATAGCAGGCCTTCTCTTTATCTCCACAGAGAAGGTTTCCTTCTGTAGTGAGAGATCACTTAAGCTTCTTTCCTCAAATGGAAAATGTGTAACGACTCGTTACAAGGTCACAATCCCGCTCACAAAAATAAAGAGTGTGAATGAGCGTCATAATGTGAAGAAGCCATCAAAGAAGTATGTTCAAGTGATCACTGAAGACAAGTTTGAGTTCTGGTTTATGGGATTCATAAATCATAAAAGAACATTGAGCTATCTTCAGGAGGCAGTCTCCCAGAATCAGTGTCAACTTATGCTGTCACAAATTCTGTAAACCATTTCAAAGATTGACTGATGGCTAGCTACATGTCTCTCACCTGTAAATATGAATTGGGAATGGACATATTCATTTTATAATAATATAAGCGTAAATGGGAAGTTGTCCACTGATTTATGAGGTTTTACAATTGTACATTGCTGGTTTGTCATTATACCTCATGAGCATATGAATCTAATAATAATCATATTATTAGTGTTTCTTGTTATTGATGAATGTGTATTTATTCTCAGTATTCATCTTTGGGAAAAAGATAATAATATAAGAAGCAACTACCATTAATTTCATTAAACACATACTCCCTCTCTCCCACTAACAATGCGACAAGGAGTGACACACAAACAAATAAAAGTGTTTTATGTGGTTGATATTGAATTGATAAAATAAGAATAAGTAAGAATGATTTAGAGAGCCACACAAACTTTGTCAAATTTGGTATGAGATAATCTTAGTGGACGGACCGAACACTACAAAAAAAACATGGGATTGAGAGGGATTTTGGTAGGGATTTGACCGGTATTTTGTCAGGGATATGTCAAATCCGTGTCAAAAACACTTTGACACGAGCTATTTGGCACGAAAAATCGGTAAATCCATGCCAAATTTCGTGCCAATCCCGTAAGTTGTTGTAGTGAAAAATTAAAATGTGACGATTTTAGTTGGAGGGAAGGAGTATTTTTCATCCTCCTACTTTTTCTATGTTATTCACAACCACAGGTATTTTAGCTTTAAAGTTTGTGGAAAGGGTTTTATTTTCATGTACTATCCCTTAAAACTTTGCCAAAATTGACCAGCACGGAGAATAATAAAGTAAAAACTGTGTGGTTGAGGTTTGTGCAGAGATTAGTGACACCACTTGAGTAAATACATCGATCCGGCCTCCGGCCTCCGTAGCAATTTCAGACAATAAGAACATCTCTAATATAACAATGTCCACTGTGCACATGTGACATGTGAGAGAGACACATAAAAATAAATCATTCACATTTATCTTTCTCTTTTTCAACAATTTTAATGAAAAAGTGGGAAAGTATTTAAGAAAGTTGGCCAAATGTATGCGAGAGATTTTATGTACGGAGTATTATTATGTGATGTGACGCGCTCATCTACTTTCTTGCATGGTGGAAGTTGTAGGCTTGTAGCACCGCATGTGGCATTGAAGACAGTAATGGGTGATTCAAGTACCAAGTAGCACACTACTACTCTCGCTATGGCTGATTCAAGACTATCTCTTTTTCATCTTTCCCTCCTCACTTCTAGAAATTCTAGGAAGCGTAGCACTCTCCTCTATGGCATGTTCAAGTCTATCTCTGCTATCTCTTTTTCTTCTCGCGCCGCTCTCCCTTGCCACCTTCCTTTACCTTATCGTCCGGCCTCGTCCTGTGAAAGTCCCAATCAAGAACCGCCACGTATTCATCACTGGCGGCTCCAGTGGCATTGGCTTGGCCGTAGCTCACCTCGCGGCTTTAGAAGGTGCCAAGGTCTCGCTACTAGCTCGGAGTGCCGAGAAGCTGGAGAATGCCAAGCGCGCGATCCGGCTCGCCACCGGATGCGACGTCGCAGTGTTTAGCGCCGATGTCAGAGATTACGACGCCTTGAAGAAGGCAGTAGAAGAGGCCGGCCCTGTCGATGTTCTGGTCTGTAATCAGGGGGTTTTTATGGCGCAGGAGCTGGAGACTCAGGATCTGGATGAAGTCAAGCTCACGATCGATGTGAATTTGACGGGGACTTTTAATTTGATCAAAGCGGCATTGCCCGGAATGAAGAACCGGAGAAATCCTGGACCTGGGTCAATTGCGATTATGTCATCCCAGGCCGGACAGGTAATTTATAGGTCATTTTCTTTCAGGGTTCATCCTAGCTCAAAGTTAGGGCACAGGTTTGAGATTTTGGTTTTTAATCTGATTTAGAATCTGTAAATTGATTAATAATCCGTACTTTCAACTCTTAACTAAGGGGTGATTGGATCTGATTTTAAAACTTTTGAAGGAGCAGAATCAAAAGTTGGGTTGGTGTTTGGGTGAAAGTGTGACTTTTGGTGCTATAATTTACTCGCAGCTTTTTTAGAAGCTTGTCAAAATGATTTGATTCTCTTTCTTCTTTAAAAAAGAAGCAGAAGCAGAATTAGTTCCAAACAACCGGGGGTAAGGTTGCAATTGACCCAGGTCCACGATTTCTCCCGTTCTTCATTCTTAGCCAATGGTAACGGGGAGTCGAATGTACGGAGCCTTACCCACGTACGCTTCATAACAAAGAAGCGCAGACAATTTAGTGAGTCATTTTACTCTATTCCATCATATTCCCAAGTCAAAAAGTAGCAAATTTTTGGCTCCATTTCAAATGACGGAAATATCAAAATTGTCTATTACTGAATATATTGATGTATGGACCATATGTCCATCAAAAGCTGCGATAAATTTAAGATATGGTGTGAAGACAGTACCCATGAAAGTGCACAATCTATTTATCATTCATGTTTTTTATTATTTTTTAAGGAAACTTATTTGTGATGTTGTCCTTTATGACTGATTTCTCAATTTGTATGATCTTGTTTAGGTTGGGATCTATGGTTATACAGCCTACTGTGCTACTAAATTTGGCCTTAGGGGTATGGCAGAAGCATTGCAGCAGGAGGTTGTTGCAGATAACATTCATGTATCCCTAATATTTCCTCCAGACACTGATACTCCTGGCCTTGATGAAGGTATTGAAACAAAGATTGATTTTATTTATCCTTGATATGCGTGATTTCCAAAGTTATCAGTTTCTTTGTCCAAATCAAGTTTTTTCAGCACTGACACACACAAGAAAAGTAGAAAACTTAAACTAAAAAGCATTTTTAATCCATAACTATTAGGTAATTGATGGTGACACATCAACAGCTCTGCCCTGAACCCCTTGAAGAATTCCAAATTTGTGGAAAGTAATATTCAAATCAGAGATCCACGTATCCACGTAATTGATGGTGACATGTCAAATTGCCAATTTTATTAAATTTATTGTATGACAGATTTTTTTATTAATTCACAGATGGTCTTTGTTTAATCTTAAGATACATTTTTAGCATTGTTTAATTTTAATAAATTTGACATGTCTTTATCAAATCATTGTATGGCTGTTTGAAATGTGTTTGCTCACGAACTTTGCAATTTTAGCTGGCTTCTGGAATCCAGACTAAATTCTAGACATTTTTAAAGAAATAGGCCTCAACTGCCTGGAAAATTTCAAGTATTCTACTTTTCCATCCCTATATAAGAGACGAAAAATGCTTTTTACCACAAAAAAAGTGATGGATCTTAGATAGTAATGAGTTGTTTGCTAATGATATTAACAAAAATGTAACCTCCTACACAACCTGTTGGGGTATGTATACAGTTTCTAAGATAATAAACTGTTTAAAGGTGGGTAGTCTTCTCCGCATTTTTCATGGGAATGGTTCAGACATTGACCAACACGTGAGCCCCTATGTAGCACGGAAACTCTCGGGAAGGAGTACGTTTCCATTTTTTAAACTCTACGGAAACTCTTTGGAAACTCTCCAAACAAGCTTTTTTTGAGCAAAAGTTAACGTTTCCCGTTTCCTCATGATTTTTGCATTTCCGTGCAACATAGGTGAGCCCAAGTGTTTGACAGGACCCAGGAGCTATTTTTTGCTCAAGGGATGCTTCCCTTTGGAAGACCAAGAGTCTTTGCCAACCAGCCCCAATCTTTGTGGCAAGCCCAATCCTCTGAACCTAAAATAACCCAAGGGCCTTCTCCTCAACCGCAGACCAAAAGCCTGAAGCTCCTCAATTTGGCTTCTTATTTGTTGTTGGATACCTATGATTGTACGATAGTTTGTAGCTAGTTTATATCTATTTCAACTTTGCAATAATCTATTTCTCAAGGTCTCTTTGAACTTTGAACAACTATTCTGATAGTTTTATTTTTCCTATAGATAACAAAACGAGGCCACAGCTAACACGTATATTAGCTGCTTCTTCTGGTACAATGAAAGCTGAAGAAGTTGCCAAGAAAGCTTTGGATGGAATTAAATCTGGAAATTTTTTTGTTCCGTGCAACCTAAAGGGGTTTGAACTAGCCATAGCCACCGCTGGTATGTCTCCTCAAAGGTCATTCCTCATGGCCTTGGTAGAGGTGTTGGGAGCTAGCATAATGCGTATTGTGGCTCTCTGCTTCCACTGGAATTTGCATAGAAGCATTGAAAAGCATCATCATGTGATGAAGAAATAGTATGTTACTCCGTATATATTTGACCGTATATATGGTGTTATTTCGTTACTTCTAGTATGTTGCTTTTTTTCTTGAATAGCAATGAAGTCCTCTGTCTGATCTAAGCACTTGGTCTAGTACCCGGAGTGTTGATTTTGTCATATTATTGATTTGAAAATTTAGGGAACGCAATAGTGTTGGAAAAATGCTCTTTGTCGTACATAAGAGTGTTGCAGTTATTTTTTTTTGCGAGGAATTGGAACCATTGCAGTTATAATATACTAGTATATAACTACTAATAGCATTATGGGTATTACTTCCTCCGTCCCCCAATTAATATACTAGTTTGACTTTACACATATTAAGGAAATAAATATACTGAGGGGTAAATTACACTGTTGTGACACTGTTTTGCACTGTTTTGGCACTATTTTGGTCTAAATTTGTTTGCCAAATAAGAAAGTGTGAACTTGTTTAGGACATCCCGAAAAGGAAAGTGGGAACTTAATTTGGGGACGGAGGGAGTATTATTGTTGTGGGCACGGTCCGGTCCAATATTTTGTTGAACTCGTACTCGTACCGTAACTATTGAAACGATTCGGTTTGGTCTTAGACCTAAACTCGTTCGGTACCGGAAAATTAAAGTTTTGCCACCTCCAAATATCCATACAATCTATCAATTTTTATATTACATAATTAACAGTAGTAACTTTTAGATAAACTTTAGTAGTGCACAACATAAATCACAAAACATTAATTTGAGATAAACTCTAGTAGAAAAATGCTAGAAGTACAAACACATTTACAAAAAAACTTACAAACAAGTGATGTGGCTATTCTAATTACCATTGATGTAAAAGTGTTGTAAATGTGATGTGATGTGTTAAATAATGTGATGATGTCACATACCCTTTTTGTAAGACTTTTTGTAAAAGTGTTTGTACTTCTAGCATAACTCACTCTAGTATACTACAACTACAAACTCTCTGGGCTGAACATCAATTTTTGTTAAATCTGTACCTAAAATAAATTAAAAAATATGAAAAATTGGGTCTGACTTCACCACATGAAGATCCACGCCTAGCAGCGAGCATCGATCCAAGCTTCCCGTGAACTAGCAAAGGTCCTGAAAATGCACAAAGGCAATAATCAAAGTAATGGTATACATGTATATATAATTATTAATTATATAAACCATACTTCGGTCCGGTACCGGTTCTCATTTTATGAGAACCGGTCATGGCATGGTTTGGAACCGGTACACTCCGGTTCGGGACAAAAAATTTGAAAATCATTTCAAATCCCATTTTTCGGTTTGGTATCATACCGGTCCGGTTCGGTACCATGTCGATTTGGTATTTTTGTCCACCCCTAATAAATACTTTACTTTGAATTTGTTTAAGAAAATGTCGTGAATAGGAGTAAACATGTTGGTGAGTTCCAAAAGAGGAATGTTATATTTTTATTTTCTAAAGAGAAAACCGTCAAATAAGTCTTTCTATTATTTTCAATCCATCAATTAAGTTCTTGTACTAAAAAAGTATCATATACGTGCGTTTACTTTAAGAAATTTATCAATTTGGTCATTTATTTAGTTTTTTACCTGTAATAGTAGGGTTTTTTTGTTTAAAACTCTAAACAATATTAAAATTTGAAGAAATATGGATAACAATTATGAAAAAAATTCAGAATGTCAAAGTCAATATTTTTGACTTTTTTGTATATTCTACTTGTATTTAAATGGTTATTACAATTAATATTTTATATTTTTTATATTTTCTCTTTATTTGTTTATTTGTCTGATTTTTTGTTTTTTTTTTATAACATTTTTAAACTATTTGTCTATTTTTACGTTTAAGCTATTTCTTTATGTTATAATTACACGATTTTTCAAATTTATATGAATTTTTATAAGATTTATCAATAATCCTAATTTATTAATAAAAAATAACCTGTCATAGCATCTCAAAATGACTTGATTGATTATATATAAAAAGTAAGTGTAATCCACTTTTTAGTAGGACTTAAAATCTTAAATGATGAATTGGAAAGTTGGTTGTAATTATTCCGGTAAGGAATACAAACATTGTTTTATTAAACATTTTTACCCCGATTTTTTTCAATTTTGTGTTTATTCTCACTATTTGTGTTTAGGGAGATTTGAGAGTGGAGAACTCCTATGAACATATTGATTTCTTGTGGTTAATTGAACAGCTCTCTTTGTCCTAATTTCCCTAACATGAGGCTGACACGTCCACTTTATATCTTGGAGTCTTATAATCCATTGCTCTAATATGTGCTTGTAAAATATAGGAATTAAGATCAAACCGGGTAGGTGAACGAAGAATCAGCTATCTAACAGGTTCGATTTACTAAATCTGTTGTGTTAGAGCTGTCTGCGTGAACTACTGCGTGAAATTAGGGCCATTAACGAGTTGAACCGAGCCGAGACATATATTCATGTATAATTTGTATGCAGACTTGAATATATTGAGAGTAGGTAAGAAGATGAAAATGATCTTTTGCATGCAGACTTGAACATATTCATGTATAACTTGTGAATAGCATCTCGCACGGGTGAGTATACCATGAGTAAGAGAACTATAAAAGACAAATGAGTCACAAAATTTGGAAAATGTGATTGGCATTTATGCTTGTGGAAATTTGGTTTCTGCAATTCTCGATAATAATAAAAAAACGAATCGAACTTAATACATTCTTATTGTCTCACCTTGGATACATACAATATATATTGTGGAACCATTGGTAAATATCATAGACCGCATTGAGTTGAGCATCAACCCTCATCCCTCGACCAGGTTGTAGACTAGCTAGCTAGTGATTTTAAAATGAACCTTATCATAAGTATGACTCAGAAATAAACTGGGGAATCTGGAAATGCAGCATACGCAAGCAGCGACTATGCGAAGGCTGACTGTAAAGTTTCTGTTCGTGTTGGACGCCAAAATGTCTTTTCCACACACAATAATCCTTCACCGTCCTTGGAGAAAGTAAATTTCACTTTCCAGTGTAGTGATCTGGCAATTTTCTCCAGTTCAAGAATCATTTCAGAATTGTCTCGGACAATTAATTTTCCTTTTGGCCTCAAAATCCGGTCAGCTTCTGCAATCACGGCTGCAATGCTGCATCTGTTTTCCATAAGAGTGTCAGGATTCAAAAGCCACTCTCTTAACTGTGTGTTAAGTTCACAGCAATGTTAGATGGCAGTAATGGAAAAAAAACTGACCTTTGCTTGATCTTAGAAAAAAGATGATCAGCATGAAGAAGATCATATGATCTAGGGTATGTGCTAAATGATTCACACCAGTCGTGATACATCCCAAACAACCCACGCTCATATATTACAGGAAGTGTGTCAGGTGAATCTATCGGAACAATGTTCATAACCCAGATTTGCAATTCTTTGAGTGCTGCAGCAAATCTGCAAGATGCAGAGAGAAAGAGAGAGAGGGAGACCAGGATTATACAACCAACTTAAAGCAAGTTTTAAATACAGATATGTAATAATAAACATGTTGAGACTCTTCATATATCTTTCATCAACCTATAGATTATCCAGGAGCCTATAAATATTAGGCACCATATTCTAATCCTATCATCACATCAATAGTCTTTCAATTTCTTTGTTATCTTCTTTCGCCACTTGCTGTCATATGTTACTTTCTACTTGTCCTCACTGGATCTTCAAATCCTAATTTATTCAATATTAAGTTGTGTTTGATTACGTATATGGATGTATTAGTGAAGAGTTTTTCATAAGGATGCCTAAGAGCTTGCTAAGATCAAACTCATCAAAGTCAAATATATATAATGAAGAGAAAATTACTAGCGAAAATGTACCTACGGTTAGCTCAGCATTAACCACCTATGACTTCCATTGGTGATCGTATAACAATACTTTTCAAAAAATAATTTTTTAATACATTAATAGAATAAAATGTAGGTACATGTGAATAGTGTAAAATTCAATATTTTGCAATTATTTAAGAACACAGGTAGTATCCCTCATCCAATTTCATTATGTACATTTCTTTTTTGGTCTCCCCAAAAATGTGAACTTTTTCTAATTTGAAATCCACTAAATTTTACCTTTCCATTTTATCCTTTAATTTATCAATTCACCTTTTACTTTTTGTGGATTCATACTACTTTTTCTATCTTTTAGAATGATATACTTGTAAAATAACAAGTGCAACTATCACCTTTAATTTTTAAAATCGTGCCAGACCAGATGTATTGGGACTTGTTGCAAATCGGTTTACCAAACTTACAGAATAGACTACCCAGAGACAGATGCGCCTATGAAAAAGATAAGTATCGTCCAGTACTTCTCTTTAGTTGTTGCAGTGTCATTTTGTATCGTCAATGAAAATGCAATTGCCTCATCCAAGAATTAAACGGGGAACTATACAAACAATTATGCTTCCAAAAATAAAAGTTGACTAAACACGAATAACTTACCCTCCATACACAGCTTTCATGTCCATGACATTCCTTACTGATGACCAATCAATATCAAAACCTTTCAGATATGATCGTGACACAACATTTTTCCAATGGGCATAGTCGGCAGCAAAGTCTTCTGGAGCTGCTTTACCATAAACTCCAGTTTGGGAACTCTGTAACCAATAAGGTGCTTTCTCCAACCTCTTTGGCCATACCTCAGGCCAATGCGATCCACGTTTTGATGCTTCTGTAGGAATTTTGTGCAAACATGCCTGGAGTTCAACATCCCTGAGCCAAAAAAAAAATTGACCAAATTTTCAAGCAGAGGCACTTATCAATGGATTGCTTTAAATAAGTGTCAGAAAATATATTATTGGAAGGAGTATTGGAGGAAGTTTTCCTTCAAAACAGAGAACTTTTGCTTAGCAGAATTTGCATGCAGTGAATGAAATGTTGAGCATAGCTCAACAGGGTCCAGCAAGAAAACAATGCAGGGAAGTAATTTTTTACCAATACATAATTACATATACTGATATACATGACAATGGGTTTTAAAAACACAAGAAATGCTGCATTTTTCATTAGTGCCTTAACATAGGGTAGGGCCCAGTAAATTTAATAGGATAGGACCCACATGATTTATTTCCACATTTGATAGTGTTGGCACATTAAAGTGTGTCCTCATGGACCATGGTCTCCTTACGACTCAAATTATAGGACACTTTCTTTAGCACAAATTTTAATAAAAACCAGGAAAAATACAACACACTTTTCTCCCACAAGTGGGTCCAACATTGTCAAATATTCAAATCATTTCAAAACGTTAAAAAAGATGGTGAATTGGGAAAAA